ACCTCAAAGCAGTAAATGAACAGATACTTAGAAAACTCATGCTTGTATGAGCAACATTAGCTAGTCTTACTTCTCCGATGTGAGTGGTATTTCCCAGAACCACTGGAGAATTTCTCAGGGAAACTCAACATGGTGGGCAGGAGGAAGATGAGGACCCACCAGCCTGATACTGTGGTGATTACATTCCTCTAACAGTCCGCCAACCCCTCTGATCATGTCTCCACAGCCAGTGAATTAAACATTCTCTCAGAATGGCCCAAGTTTCCCACTGTTATTATGGCATTGGTTACAGATATTGTATAATCTATCTCTGTCTATATTCCCAAACTTGCGCCCCAGCTGCCAATATCTTACTGTCTTCTAATACTCTGGTCTAATGCCAGTTCTCCAGATGCCCCTGCTCCTCACATCTCAGGCTCTATATGCTCAAAGTTCTCCTTAGACAGTCATTGCAAGTTCCTCCTGTGATACTTCCCTTTAGCTTATAGATCTTAGTTTCCTGATAGCCAGGTCACTTTCTCTATAGTAATGACCAGCATCCATGCAGGCTCATTCAACCATCTGCTCATTTACACACCTCTGCTTGGAGCCTTTTCTTCATGTAAGTTCCACTCATCCTTCAGTCTCCGAATTTGGCCTGTAGTTAAACTCATTCAAGTGTTTAGGGAATTCAAAGGTAAACTATCATTTAAGAAAGATTCTATTAACAACTTTACTAATATTAAGGAAGGAAAAAGGATACCTCATAATTTTTAGAGGATGTGATCAGAGATTTTTAAATATACTGGCATTGTAAGCATTTATTTCCAGTATGTTTAATTTGTGCATGTGTGTTGTTTTCCAGCATAAGCAAGACATATGCTCTCATTAGCAGAAAGGGCCAGAGAGCTGTGGAATTGTACTGTTCCTACCTCCTATCATCCTACCTCCCTGGAAAATACAGTCATGTCACAGAGTTCTTTTTTTTTTTTTTCTTTTTCTTTTTTCTTTATGTTTTTTTCTGTATTGCTTTAGAGCCTGTCTTGCAACTAGCTCTGTAGACCAGGCTGGCCTTGAACTCAGAGTTACGCTTGCCTCTGCCTCCCAAGTGCTGGGACTAAAGGTGTGTGCTACCAACACCTGGCACCACAGGGGAAGATGACAGTATACAAAAGAAGGCAGAGAACACAATAGTCCAAGATGGAGCTTGTCTGTACAGACAATAGAAAAACTTGCAATGACTGTGAAGCTGGAGATCTTGGCACTCAGGTAGGTGATTTGTAATGTAGAACAAGAAATATCATTTTCTTAACCATGCCAGATCTTAAACCACTAATGTGAGGAAACCCTCTTCTTTAACCACCACATTGACAGTGAAAAAGCTACACCTGGTGTACTGGGAATGCATTTACTAGTCACTTCTCAATTCCATTTACATTTGGCAAAAGAAAGGTCATTTGAAATGTCTTCTCTTCCTATGATGGCTTAATATCTGGGTGGGGGGAGGTATGAGCAGAATAAACTTTTAAATCAAATGAGTAACCAGTTATTAACAATGTTAGATTTAACTGTTGATCGAGGACCACAGGCTGTTTGATGCTGTGGTCTTCAGTGGAAACCTTCAAGTGATAGAGAACTTAACAACTTCTTTAAATGAAACGCTTTAGAATATATGTGAAGCTTTTTTTCATTATAGCACCCATGAGATTAAAAAAAATTCACAGATGGTGTGACATGCCCAGGTAGTGCTATGGATAATATGGTAACAGGCTCTTAAGTGTATTTGTTTTAAAGGAACCTGAATTATTAAGTACATGTTTCAAAAATATAAAAATAATATAGTAGCAAGATGAACATTTGCTGTTTTAACTCTTTTATTTTGTATCACTTTCGTTGTTTCTGATACACACACACACACACACACACACACACATATACTCTTAACTTCTGGAAAATCATAACCACTCAATAAAAGAGGCTGAAGGACATTTATGTGGCTTACTGCTGTTAGGCAGGGCTACTTAATTTATTCATTCAATAACTATCTGTGGCACTGTGTCAATGGAAGAGGACACAGAGATGCAGATATGTGAGAGGAGAGTTGGGGTCCTCCCCCTTCAGCAATAGAAACCGGAAGTCCGGGTTATTATGTAACTGCAGCATTACAAACTTAAATGCTATAATGACCCTTTGCACTGCTAACATTAACAGTGAATTAGGCCCTAGAAAATGGTGTCAAAGTCAGGGTGTCGGGGGTAAATAAGCAGCAGACTAGAATGTTGGTGGTACTAATTAGGCATGGTAATTGGTCAGCTTACTCCTTCCATGTGAGTACCCTCTTACCTGGTTCAATACAGACACCAAATGTACTTCCTGTTCCGTTGCTCTCACACAGTTCACGCTTAAGAAAGGCACCTGCCCTCAGCGTGTTCACATGCATCTCTCCTTTGCCTGCCATTTTTCTGGTCCTATTACTCATTGATTATTGCTGAGTTGGTTTACTTAGGTCTAGGGAAAACAATGTACCAAAGTTTCTCTGGCAAGTGGAGATGATACTGTCCATTATAACAGTAAGTAGCAGCTCATCACATACTGGATTAGCTTCTATGGAAAAGGAGGGACCTATTATCTTAATATACCATGGACGTATATCAAAGACTAAGATACCCTCTGGAAGGAAGAACATGCATGAAAACACTCACAGGCAAGAAAAAAATGTGATGGTCCTAGGTCCCCCAACTTTCATAGGATCTTTTGAAATCTCACTGGCATTTAAAGTAAATCTCTTCTTCCACTATTAATGAAATGATATTTTAAGTTAGGATACCAACAATTTCTGAAGTGCTATACCTGCTTCTCTGAGCAACTGTAAGATGTCAAGAAGATGACAGGTAAGAACAAATGACATTATTGCGGGCATTTAAGTGTCATATTCTAATCTGCCTCCTATGATACTGTAAAGAGTAAAGCAAGCAACTGGGGATAATTTGGAGAAGAAAGAATTGTGCACAAAGTAATTCTGGGGCTAGAGGTATAGCTCTGTGGTAGAGGTTCTAAGTTCAATGTCCAGTACCACCCCTCCACAAAAGCCACAAGGTGATCTATGTGAATACCATTTGTACAAATATCACAGTATGCTACATTTCTACATGGATATTTGAGTCAAGTCACATAACTACAAATTAAGATATAATTTATGGTAGCAGATGACCTAAGAACACAAGCTAGGAGAACAGGAATAACTTGCCTTGGTTGGAAAGCAACAGGCTGAAACATCACTGATGGTGTCATTAAGAAGTACCTTTGTTTTTTTTTTTTTTTTTTTTTTTAATAAATTTTATCCAATGGGGAAGAATTTTGTCCCACTGTGAACCCATGCCACCTTTAATAAAACATGACCCATTCCAACACACTGAACGTCTTACATGAAGCTGTTAAATATGCAGATTAGGGTCAAAGCTGAAATTTGACTACAGACAGATGCTTGAAGCCTACACTTGTGGCTATACTGGCTGACCCTGTGACACCAGAGACCCCACTCTACCTACTTGTTACATTGGCTGAACTTGAGAGACCACAGATCCCACACTATAGTCACATAGGCAGGTGCTTGCTTTGTCTCATGCTTCTACTTTTTATTGGCCATGTGAAAAGAAGAGCAGAAAATGAGAATCATTATTTATAATAATAACAACGTTAGCTTGCCTGCCAATGAGAATTACTGATATAATAATTGAACTAGAAAAGAATCAAAACTTCACTGGAAAGTGTTCTAGTGGAACAATAGTCTTAGCTATTCTTAATAAATATGGGGAGAATATTATTGTTTATGTGTATTTTAAAGTCACCATGAAAAGCTCAATTAAGAACTAGAGCTCTTGCCCATTCGTAGAAAATAAATAATTCTTATTAAAAAGCATGGTTTATAAAAACAGTCATTAAGTTGTATGTTCCATTTATTTATTGTGTTTTCTAGAGGTTTTTGTTTGTTTTTGATAGGATGTTAAGTAGCCCCAAATAGTCAAGTCACTATGTAGCAGAAGCTGGCCTTGAATTCCTGAAGCCTATTCTTCCCTTCCCAAGTTTCCTGTCATCATGCCATCTTCACCAGTATTTATTCTCAAAGGAAGGAATCATCTGCAGTCTGCAAACTATAATCCAATGATTATTACTAAGTGAATGCTTAAACCATGGTGAAAATTGTAGTGGAAATAAGAGCTAGTGAATATAACCAGGATTATTTAATTAACTATTAGAATACTATTTAATTCTGCCTCTATTATTTATAACCAGCACAGTTCAAACAAAGTGATTAGCTGACAAAGGTAGAGTGAATATCTCACAAATTCTTAACATTGCTTCTTTGTGTTCCTTTTGTATTCAGTGATAACATTTCAAATCTGATCATTAGCAACAGAAGCATTTTTATAATAACCATTTTATATTCCTTACATTCATGTAAGGGCATATTAAAATTACTTAACTGTACAGAAAAGATGGTCAATGTTTTTTATCTTTAAAAGTAAGCTGGAAATGTGTAATTTATTCTTGTTAGCTCACCAGTGATTGGCCCAGTTGGTGCCCCCAAGCCATATACATTTATTTTCTGTTGAACTAAAAGCATTGTTTTGAACCCTTTCATTTTCAATGCACCCTTTCTCTTGAGAGTTGGGAGGTAAGTTTGTCTGGTTTTGTTCCTCTTTTGTACACAAGCCAGGTAGCCAGGCAGAGGTGGATTTATTCTATAGACCTGGGTAAAAAGATCTGAAACTCTCTGTCCCTAAGAAGTAGATTGCATTATAACTGAGAAACTGCCATATAAGAACTCCACACTAATACATACAAACAAATTAATTTTGGCCCACAGTTGTGGTATTTAACCTGAATCCTGGTACAGGTACAGCAGCCTTGTGGCTCTTTATTCCTCTCAGATCACTGGTTTCTGAAAAAAGGCTTACTAGTTCATTTGAGCACTAACGTTTTATTATAAAGACACATAATGGATTCGGGAAAATACAAACCTGATTGCACTTGCCGATAAGTGCCCATAGGAACCACTTGCTGAAGAGCTGCTACGGGAGTTATTGAGAATTGTGACCAGGGAGTTAGGAGATGTTCTTATCATGGTCTGAAGGTCGAAGCTATGATCTGACAGTGGTGATATGGACAGTGTGCGTTTTCGGCTGGGCCTAGCTGACAGCCTGGGGCTAGGAAATCTGGCGCCTGTTACAAAAACAAAACAGAACTTGATTACCTACAGCCAGAATCTATATGTTATTGACTACTACTTCTCAGAGCAAAAGTAGAGGGATAGAACTTGGCAACTTGTGGTGACAAGTATCTCTCCTCCCCCTTGTGATGTACTGGCTACAATTGAGGAAATTAGGGCAAAATATTTATCTTCCAGGGGCTTACCTCAGAGGAGAGCTGTTTATTAATGTGCAGGCAAAATGATAAATTGCTCAACAAAAGGGAGAGACTTTTATGTGTTATCCTTCTCATTTCTAATGATTTATGAATCTGACAGCTGCTTAGATATTCCCATCATTAATTCACCACAAGTGACAAAGACAGAGGTTCCCACAGTTGCAACACAATGCCCTCTCCACTCTAACACATACCATTTTAAGGCAATGAGGTGAATGACAAAAACCGAATGAAAGCATGCTAAAGTAAGGAATTTGGTGTAGTTATGCCTGCCTCTCCGTAATCCCAGCAGCTAAATGTTCCCTGGTAAACTTACAGCACCACTAAAACAAGGTACAAGGCATCACCCTAACCAGGGGTACCCAAAATGGAGGGATTTTGAACCCCATAAAACATCTGACAACATCTGGTTGTCATAATTCAGGGCATGCTATGGACATCTAGTAGGAAGAGGCCAGAATACTGTCAGATCTCTCTAGTTCACATAGCAGTCCCACTATATAGAACCTTGGATTCAGTGCTGTCAAAATGTGGGATTCCTCTCCTAAAAGCCTTCTCATCTAAGCATGTACATTCCATGTTGTTGGTCATGGTGCTCTACAAATGTTCCAAGGTGGGAGACATAAACTGTGCACACATGTGAGCAAGGCCCGAAATACCTACGGATATTGAAACGGACCTTTTTTCACCATTAAAGACCAGTTTCTAGATGTCAAGAAAAGCCCTCTCCTGGCCTCTTAATCTGGAGGTTAGCAACTCAATGTAAACACATGCCCACTTAATACAGTGGTTTCTAACGGAGGAGTGTCAATTAAATACGATTTGCATTTGAAATTGTTAGATGTCAAGATCTGAGTCAGGGCAGAGTACAGAACGCTGCCCACTGGTCCAGGCTTGCTTTTGGAAGATCTAGTCAGTCATAAAACTAAAGCTTAATGAGAGTGTGAGAGGTAATCCTGCCAGATAAGAAGCAAATCAATTACAAATAAGTTTCAATACAAAAAGAAGATTTTGTGTTTCCCAGCATGGGTACAACTCCTTTCAGAGACATGGCAATTTGGCCTTACACAGGAAAATTATAGTAGTAGGCAAATCTTTAGAGAAAAAGTGACAAGTCAGGAAATTCTATGGGAATATTTTCCCATAGAAGGCAGAGCCCTATTTATATTTTGTAGAGGTAGGAACTGAACTCAAAGCCTTGTAAGTGCTGGGTGAATACTCTACCACTGAGCTAGAAGCCCAGCCACAGAGCCTTCTTACTGCTCCAGCACAGGGAGTTCCAACCTAGTTTCTGTTAATTGTTTTTGTTTCTCCGTTCTAATAAAAATTTCTGACAAAGAAAGAGGAGCTTTCTTTTCATGTGATGAATGATAGGACATCTAAATTCCTACTTAATGACAGTCAATTTACCATATACTCTGGCAAATTAAAATTCCTTTAATTAGTTTTTACAAAGTAAAAGGGTAGCTTCATCCTTTATTTAGATAAAAAACCCGCCGCTGCCTGACTAAACATATTCTTATCAAATAGGGAAAGTAACGCAGGCCGACCTTCCAAGGAGTCTCTGTTATTTTAATTCTTTATTTGCAGATTTTTAAATAACTAATTTGCATAATAACGGTGAACTGTTCCCCCCTCAACAATCGCTAATTGAAATGTGGTTATGATGAATCTGAAACTTAAGCTCTTTATGCTACCAAGCCTAACAACAAAACCCCACAGAGTGTGCAACACAGTTCTTTTACTTTGTGTGTGGTAACAAGCTGCCCAATAGAGGCCAGCACCAGGCCACACTCCTTTGGGGTGCACCAAGGTCATCCTGGGTGATTAGCAGACTCAGATTGTCCATTTTTATTCCTGTATGGACCAACCATCTCTTTCTATCCAAAATCTGAGGTTTAGATTCACAAAAACACACCCCTGACCAGGATGACTCCAGATAAGATTCTAGTTGGAAACACAAGGGTTAAACATCACTGCTAGAAAAACCATATTTTCCTTAGTCTGGCTTTAGCTTCACTCTTCAAGGCCCTGTAAAAAGATATTTACTGAACTGGTCCTTGTCAGAGATGAGAGCTCTGAGGTACTCTAAAAAGCCATTATAGGCCCATTGTGAACCAAAGGAATCCTAATGCGCCTCTAGGCACCCCTCAAGTGACACGCATATCACATGATCTTTGTTTCCTTCATTGCCACATGCGAGAATTTGGAAATGTTTCTGGACTTTTCCCCCCTTTGTGGAACTATTATGAACCTTTCATGTTCTTAGCAGCTGCAAAGAGTCTTCATGAAACACAATTTTAAATATAAGGATATGTGAATGAAAATAAACATGTCTTATAGTTTCTTGATTTTTTTTTTTTAAAAAAATGCTTAATTTCAAAAGAATAAAATCTACAATATTAGAGTGGCCATGAAAAGTCCATCCAGGTAGCAAACCTGTTCCTTTATTTTTATATCACAAGAAACAGCAGGATAATTTGTTGATCAGTTTCATTCCCAGGATAGCTACCACCAACTACAGTTCTCTACATATCTTAGTTCACCAGGAGACAACAGGCCATCTCAAGGCTGGCTTCATCTATGGAAACCTTTGTAGGCTTCTCTCCATTTCCTAGTTAGCATTTGTTCTCTCCCAGGGCTCCATCAAACAGCCTTGTCACTTACTATCCATGGCATGAAGGTACTCCATGTGGATGGCCCCTGCACCAGCGGTGGCAGCTGAGGGAAGGATGTCTGCATAGGGGCTTCGCTGGCCTGTCAGCAGGGCCATTTGGTGATAGTATTCTGCAGGGCTGACTCCAGCATGGGGGGCTGCAAGATGAAACAGGATGGTGACAGTTACCAAAAGGACAAGTAGCCACTTTTTTTTAAGTGTCCCAAGTCCACTTACCATTTGTCCTACAAACACATCTCTCTTATGGCTCCGTGGAATAAAGCTGTTCTAAGTATGCATTCACTGGTATTTGTCTTTATTTGAAAGCTATATATATACATATATATGTATACATACATATATGTATATATATTAAAATACATTAGAGAGCTAACGGCCACTAGACTGATAGCTGGGAAGCCAGCATGGGACTGACTCAGGCCCCCCTGAATACGGGTCTCAGCCAGAAGGACTGAGCAGTCTAAGGGACCTCAGACACTGGAGCCAGGATATATCCCTGGTGCACAAAAGGACTTCGCGAACACATCCCCCATGAAGGGATAACAGCCTTAATCTAAAGACAGGAGAGAAGCCCTAGTCCCTACTTCATATGACCTGTCAGATCTACATGACCCCAACTGGATGGCATTCCCCTACATATGGAAATGGGGTGGGGGGATGGGAGGGGAGGGTGGTTAGAGTGCATGTGAGAGGGCAGAGAGGGTAAAAGGGAGGGAAGGAGGGAGGATTTGAGGGAGGGAGGAAGAGGGAACTGGGATCGACATGTAAAATAATAAATTAAATTAAAAAAAATGCTTTGACTCCAAAATTTAAGTTCAAGGACAAGTTACTGGGGAAAAGGATATTTCTATTTTTGTTTCCACAGAAAAATGAAAAGATGTGGATTCCTTCCAGACTAATGTGGTTTGATCAAGCCAGGCCGCCTGAAACAGAGTACGAGGTGATCCTACATTCAAAACAGCTGGACAAAGCAGCCTTACAGACTACAGCCAGGATTTCTGAATCTTCTTTGAATCCCCCAGGACAGTGCCTCTTACCAGCAGGAAGTAGTTTGGAAAGAACGATGCCCAAATTCCCAAATATTGTCTATAAATATTTGTTTTCATTTAAATGGACTTGGTTATATAAAATAAATTTTAAAAATACATTAGAAAAGTTTTGCTCTTTGTTTAAAGAAATTAACATGAATTCAAACATGAATTCAAAATTATATATATACATATATGAAAGGAGAGAAAGAGAGTCATGTATCTTTTTAAGATGAGACATATTCTGAGAAATGTGTCATTCAGGCAATTTTGTCATTTTGGGATCACAGAGCAGACATGTATACAATAAGAAGACAATGATGTCAACTACACAACGTAATTTATGGGGATTCTAACATACACAAACTTGCCCCAGTGTTGGTACCAGAATGATGGCTGTATGTAGATGGTCATGACTGACTGCCTCTCTCTGCAAAGAAAATAGTTGCCTATAGACAATTGCTGCATGCTCATACTTCTTACAACAGTAGACAACTCAGACAACTGTGATATCTTTGCAGACATACTTAAAATACTTCCCTAGGCTCCTGACAGAAGTGTCTAAGTTAACACTCACTAACATGAGAAGTCAGAGTTTACAAGAAAGAAAAAAGGGCAAGCACAGCATTAATGACACACAACCGAATGATAAGCTGCAATTTCATGTTCCAGGGTTTAAAAGTTCCTTTTTTCCTTTTTTTCTCCCACTACAAAATCAAAAAGAAAATGTACCTATCAATCTGGAACAATTTACCGGCAAGAGTCAGCCTCACATGAGTAGGATAATAATTGGTTTCCACCTGCCAATTTACATGCAAGAGCAGGAAGATACTGTAGCAGTTCTGAGGGTGGCCTCTAGATTTTCAGAAATCTGGATTAAAAGAAGACCTACAAGGCATGTGGGAGCCAAAAGTAAAGTAAAGGTTTATAATGACTAGCAATAGGCAGAAGAATCCTGGCAATAGGTATCCTGAATTTGTATACATTTGCAATACTTTTTATGCGTGTTACATAGCAAAAAGGGGTATTTTTAAAAATATAAGACTACAAAAGGAAAACATTAGTGGAATTATTTGGTTGGGTATTATGGTGCTTTGAGTGAGAATGACCCACCAAAAGCATACAAGTTTGAAAACTTCGCTGCTAGTTAGAGGAACTGTTTGGGAAGGATTAGGAGGTATGCCCTTATTGGAGGAGATGTGTCATTGGGGGTGGACTTTGAGGTTTTAGAAGTTCACACCATTGTTAACTGGCTCTTTCTCTGCCTTCTACTTGTGGATAAGGAAACTCTCAGCTACTGCTCCACTGTCATGCCTGCCTGCCTGGGGTCAGGATGGTCATAGATCTATCCCTATGGAACTGTAAGCCCCAATGAATGCGTCTGTAAGTTGCCTTGGTCATGGTGCCTCATCGAATCAATGGAAAAGTAACTAAGACAGTTACTAACTGGAATAGTAGAGTCAGGGAAGGGAAGGCAGACCCACTAATCAATCAACAGATATTTTATTCACACTCATTAAATGCAAACAATGAGACTGATTTCCATAAAGTAGCCACAAGTTACCATGCCCTCAGCCAATCAAATTTCTATAAGCCAGCTGTATACAAGCTTCTTCCTCACTCTCTTTACCTGCACCCCTAGTGGTTATTTTTACCACCATCCACTCCTTTATCACAAAATAAAGTTCCAAGCAAAACTCTTAATCATGTTTTACCTTTTGCTGGTTTTAAAAATGTAAATATTACTCAAATGAGAAGATAAATCCATTGGGTACCTTACAAAAATAGCCATTGCACTGAATACTTTAAAAAAAAAAAAAACCAAAAGGAAGACACATGGGGGGTGGTAACTGTTTCTAGAAATACACAGAATGGATGATTCCTCAGAAACGTCATGCATGTTGCCACTGTGCAAAAACAACCTCAGAATATGGTTCCCATGTTAGAATTAGGAGACAGGAAGTCACAGCAAAGAGTTCAGTGAAATGGTCTGCATGATGTTCCTGTACTCTGCAACCAGAAGAATTGATGTATATTCTGCAGTGAAGCACGCATAGCCTCACCAGTAAACAGTAAGGCTTATGCAGTTCTGTGGCTTAATGCAGAGCTGGGCAGTTGTAGGCAAAAGATCATTCATTCTGTGTGTGTGTGTGTGTGTGTGTGTGTGTGTGTGTGTGTGTGTGTGTGTGTGTGTGATATAGTGAATATTTTCCCCAAGTCTTAACAGGAGGGTCTGAATAACTAGCTCCAATTTTACAAAAATGTGGGAAAGTTTTACCCGAGGATGAAACCTACATTTTAAGCCTAAAATGAGCTCCAGGGATTACAGGAATAAAGAATAAAGTCTATCTCTTTTTCTTTGCCCATTGTTTGGTTTTATGTGGCATGTTCAAGAACTGAAGGCACACCTAACAACCCCACCTCCCATTCTCAATTTTCGATACTTACAGTGTGGCCCACCATGGACCAACAGTATCAACATCACATAGAAGCTTTTATGACCACAAAGACTCAGGTCTCCCACTCCACATTTTTCCCGTCCCCATCATCTATCAAGATCCCCAGATGACATATATATGCACAGTAGAGTTTGTCAAGCTCTGTTCTCAGAGACACATTTACATAAACATGTCTTTTCAACATACAGAACATAAGTGCATTCATTAGAAGATGGTCAAAGCACTCAGTGAATTCACACAAGCATGGGATACCTGCAGGACTTACCTAATCATGTGTGGAGTGCCGAAGAGAAGGACATAATAGCAAGTAGGGGAGTCAGTAAGACCTTGCTTTGAGTTCCAACTTACTTAATTCCTCTGCCAACTGCTATCCTTACATGAAAATATGGACACTACCACCCAAGGAAGCAGTGTTGTAAGTGGGAATTTAATCTTCAAGTTTGTTCCCATGTCTGTCATGTGGAAAACCTCAGGATATACTAGATCTGCTTAATAGAGGGCCACACAGGAAATGTAATAGCCAGGTGGTCTATGGAAGAATTGTCTGAGACTTACCATCTGTAGGGCTCAGCCCTCGGGCAGCTGAGATCATGGAGAGGGATGGGCTGCTGTGCAACGAGCGGATGTAGTCCATATACGGGTTGATGTAAGGATGTGGGGGGCTGAAGGGGGACTCTGAAGCTGCAGTGGGGTTACGGTGTGGGGAGATCCTAATGAAGGGCAGGTCTGGATACGTCGGGCTACTAGATAAGGCAGAAGGCCTAGAAAGGGAGAAAAAGACACATATACATGAGATATGCACCCCCATACATGAAGGAACATATATATGTTCTTCACATTATGTGAAGAAATATGCCTTGGAAAAATCTGTCAGTTAGTCAGTTATAAACCAATGTTTAGCATTCTTACCTTTATATTAGGATGGTGTAATCCAGGTAAAAGAATACTATGAAATTATCTGAAAAAGAAAACTCACTTCTGATCTATTTCACAGCACTCTGAAGATGGATTAAAAAAGAAAAAGAAAAAAGGCCAGCCTTAGTCAGGTGTGGTAACAGATGACTGTAATGCTAGAACTCTGGAGGCTGGGACAGAAGGGTAATAAGTTCAAGGCCTATAATATAGTTATTAGTTCAAGGCCAGCCTAAGAGACTCTGGCTTAAAAAGTAGATAAGGTTTCAGCTCAGTGATAAAATACCTGTTTGATCCTTGCTGTAAGACAGACAAACAGACAGGCAGGCAGACAGACAGACACACACACACTCAGCCGTTAATTTTCCCCGTGAAGAAAATCCTCAGCAGCCAATGAACTATGACTCTGTTTTCCAATTGATCCAAATATTAATAACACCCCTTGAAACTTACTTCTTGTAGTGCTTCCTTATTAAACACAACAGAATTTATCTGGTTTGAGCCTGTAGATGGCAAAGCTGCCCATGAGACAGAAGAAACAATCTGTGAGAGATGCCAAAGTAGTCTCTATAGCTGTGCACATGCTTCCAGAGGGCTTGCAAGTAAGGAAAACTGACTTCCACTGCTTAAAGGCAACTTCTCTTTTACAAGAGGCAGTGCCAAGAATTCTGCTATTGCTTATTTTTCAGCTGGATCCTTATAAAATTCATTTAGTAAGGAACCAACAACTGAGCATCATTGGGTTTCATCAAGCTCAGGCCTTGGTAAGCAATGAGCTAATGGAAAGGTTTGGTTTCTTGAAGTACAAACTCTACAGTGCTCCCTATGTATTTGATCTCAGAGAGTCCTGTCTGTAACTTCATCCTCACCACACACATACATTAAGCCACTCCTGGCAACCCCAGGGACAGCCATGTCTTGAATGGTATGTCTGGAGAACCCTGCACCTCTGTGCTCCTTCCCTAATAAACTGTTTCTCCAGTGGATGATTCAGGGAACTAGCTGTGGCAGTTAAGACTTGCGTACTCCCTGCTTGTCCCATTTGCACAGGCCACAATCAGAAGAACAGGCTCCGATAGAGACATAGTCCTGAGAGCACATGCTTAGGAGTGAAATGAAAGAAAGTAAAATGCCATTTCCCCCCTGGAGAAGCACAGACACTGCCACTGGACCCTGGGCCCTGTCATCCTGTCAGAATAGGATCATAATGGAAAGGGCTCCAGCAAGTGTGCTGGGCATGTGAAGCAAAGATGCAATATTCTCTTCCTAGAAAATAAGATGCAATAAGGTTCTGAGATTGCAAGGATTTTCTAGTCTGTATTTGTTACTCAGATGCTAATTCTGGTGAAGTACAATCAAACTCAGTTTCCTAAATTTGCACACAAAATGTAAAAAGTCTCTAACAAGGCAGTTCCTGAGAATGGAACATTATTAGCACCTAGTAATGTGCAAAATTACAAATAAATAACATTGTGACTATAACATGCATACATGGATAGCTTCTGCATGCTATGCACACTATCTGTTTATGTATCAATTTGGAAACCTAAAGGCCTTTGTTCCACCTAATAAAAATAAACAAACTGGCAGAAGCTGTCAGTCTACCTCAGCTCTCTACTACAAGAGGCGTTTGCTTCATGTCTCTGGAAAATCATTCTCTAACCTCCACGTGGCCTTCAGGTGCTGGTTAAACCAAGCTCCATTCAGACATGTCACAGAGTACACAGGAAGCTCACATTCATTTCTGCCAGAAAGAATGACTAATCCCTCCAATTTGACTCAAAAATAATCCTCATAAAACAAACCCCAGACAGGCGGTGGTGGTGCATGCCTTTAATCCTAGTACTTGGGAAGCAAGACAAGTGGATCTCAGTGAGTTTCAGGCCAGCCTGGTCTACAGAGCAAGTTCTAGGATAACCAGGACTATTAGAAGAGAAACTCTTATCTCAAAAATCCAAAAGCAACAACAACAAAAAAAAACAAACAAACAAAACCCATAAACCTCTCAATGTTTTTGTTTTTTTAACTGGGATACCAGCAGACACACAAACAGTAGAAACCACCTAGAAACACTGTGGTAATCTCCAGTAGATTGAACAATCAGAAATACAAACTTCTGGAGCATGTCAACCATCCTGGTGGGTCATTTTGTTTCTGTTTCTGACATTCTCTCCTTATCAGGCCCAATTCCACTTAGGACAACCATGCCCGGGAAGACAAATGCATACTCAGAAATACATGGAAAGCAGAGAAGGAGGGCTGGGGCAGCCACTCATCCCAGGGCAAGGCAAGGAAGTAGAGGCTCCAAGGTTACTGGCTTCAGGAACTCTTTGGCTTCTTTCTGAGCCTTTGACACAGGAAGACTGAAGAACTCCAGGAGCTTCCCAAAAGGACACTAGACCTACCACTTCATCTGTGACAAGGCTGCTGGTCTCAAGGCCATGAATGTACAAGTGAGAAGTAGCAGCGGAAAGGATATTACGCCAAGATTCGGAGCTAAAGCTGGTAGATTTTAACCACCTGCCAAATGGGTCCCTTCCAGACAGATGCACTCAGAGATACTCGATCACTGTTTACAAACAAGGTGACTGGGACAGGCTTCAGAGAAGAGTGCAAAATAAGCACACTGCTTATTAACTGCCCTCAGGAAACAAGCCATCTGGTAAATTCAAGCCATCCACTTCTCCTGCATGAACAGGAATGTGTTTCACAATGTGATTCAATGGGGGCTCATCAGGACTCCCGAAGACAGGCACCAGACTGTCAGTAGAGGAAGGCAGGGGGAAGGCAGCTCAGTGGCTGGCAGCTGTATAATCTAGACAGTCTCCATCCTCACTGTGCATTGCTGTTGGAGGTCAGGGGGTAATCTAACTTGTGGTTAATAAAAGTCCCATGACTGCCTACTACACAGGCTTACCCATAATACATAAAGGCTTCTATACATCGGCACATATAAAATCCTATAAAACAACATACAAACAAGCACATATATCAGGATTGGCACATATGGAATGCTACATAATTTCAAATCTTTAAATGTAGAGAGCTTTTGTTTGTAAAGACATTCTAGCCAGGTATGGTGGTGCACACCTTTAATCCTTTAATCCAAGAACTCCTGAAGTGTGTGATCTCTGAGTTTGAGGTGGGCCTGGTTAAACTAGGAGGGTAGAAGGAGGGAAGGAGAGAGAGGGAGAGAGATACACTCTTTCTCTCTCAGCATAACCAAGCTGCAGCAGTCTTCTGATACCCCAAACCACACACAGATAGATTCTTGCCACTTTGAATGTTCTCTAGGAGCACAGTCTTTCACTCGGCTTTATTCACTTAGTGACAAGCAGTTGTTTCCTTAAATGTCCTTTCACTGATGAAAAGCTTCTTTTCTCTCTGTAGTGTGTTCGTTCACTCTGTGCATCAATGGATTTCATTATAATGCTTACACGTGCATATAAAGGATCTTTGATACTATCCATTTGCCATTATCCTCTTTTATCTCCCCTCCTCATGTACACCATCTCAAATAGTTCAATATCTTAAAAAACAAAACAAAAACTGGATTCTACATGACAGAAAATGCGTATTTGTTTTTCTGAGTCCTTCTTGTTTGAACATAATTTTCCATTCCCTCCATCTTCTTGAAAGTGGCATAATCCTGTTTGTGTTTTAAAATTCATTTCTTTTCAGCACCATACAATACTCTACTAATAAGATGAGTCATAGTTTACTTATCCATACCACTACTGAATGTATCGTGGCCAATTGCAATTGTGGCAATTACGATTACAGCTGCTATAAGCATCTATTTATAGTCTCCACAACATCAGCTCAGATAAGAGGGCATTTGTCCTCTTCCATTAAGAACCTCCTTGGATTTCCCAGGTCTCTCTTTGTAAAGTCAGAGAACCACATAGCATGAGGTGGCTAAGCTTATGAACTCACTAATGTAATGCAGGGCCTCAGAGGAAAGGACCAGAATGTTGGCTACAACTCCTCTTACTCACACCAGTCTCCTGACTCATGAGATGGATGCACAGGGACACCAGCAGCTTCCTCCCTGCTGTGACAGCTGGAAGCCACACATACACCCCTGATGCCAATGGCTTTTTAAAATGGCCAATAACAATGTCCAGATGACAACCTAGCTTCCAAGCACTGCAGGGGCTGTGGGTCCACATCTCATAGTCTCCGTTTATCTAAGGTGGACTTCTACATCAGACCCTATGTGGTGGTTTGACTAAGGATGGTCCCCACGGGCTCATATATTTGAATGCTTGGTTATCAGGAATGGCACTGCCTGGGAAGAGTTGGGAGGTGTGGCCTTGTTGGAGGAAGTGTCACTGAGTGCAGACTTTGAGGTTTCAAGGGCCTATGCTAGGCACAGTGTCTCTTCCTGTTGCTTGTGTTTCCAGAGGCAGAATTCTCAGCTACTTTTCCAGTACATGTCTGCCTGTGAGTAACCATACTCTCTACCATATAATGGACTAACCACTGAAAATGTAAGCTAGCCCCAACTAAAAGCTTTCTTTTATAGAGTTGCCGTGGTTATGGTGTCTCTTCATAGCAATGGAACACTGACAAGACAGACACCCTAATAAGCTGAGTTAGATGACTCTTCTGTAATGTTGACAAAAACAGTAATACTAAGACCCCATCCATCCATCCTTGAACTACAATGGCTAAAACAGCCAATATGTGTATATGTAACTGTATATAAATCAGGCTTTCACTAAAGCTGCTTCTAACATTGCCTAACAGAATCGCTTCCAAAGTCTTGGTAACTCGATTATTTGTCTGTTATGTCTATAATGGCATACACATCTGTGCAAGAAGGTTAAACTCTTTAAACTTAGCA